CCGAGGCATCAGGCCTGGGCAGGGGGCAGAGCCAGCAATTGGAGGGGTCTGGGGGTCCCCTGCCCAGGCTTGACCGCTGGGCCAGAGGCATCAGGCCTGGGCTGGGGGAAGAACCAGTGATGGGGCGTCAGGCCTGTGCAAGGGGCCAATCCTGCGATTGGAGGGTGATGGGGGTCAACGCCTGAGGACTCCCAGTATGTAAGAGGAGGCAGGCTGGGCTCAGGGACACCCCCACCCCCACACCCAGTGCACGAATTTCGTGCACCGGGCCCCTAGTACATATATATGCTTGTTTGAGAAACCAGTAATGAAGTTTTCAAAAGAAAACCTTTTTTAAAAAAGGATATATGAAACAGAATGGAACAGGCTAAAATAAAAAATAGTTCAGTAGGTTGTTTTTGTTGTTGTTGTTGCTATTATTCTTATTTATTTATTTATTTTGAGAAATGGGAGAAAGGGAAGGAGGGAGTGGAGACAAGAGAGAGAGAGACAGACAGACAGACATTGATGTGAGAGAGAGACATCGATTGGTTGCCTTCCACACTCACCCCAACCTAGCAGGGTTGAACCTGCAACCCAGGTACATGCCCTTGAGCAGGAATTGAACCCGTGACCCTTCAGTGCTCAGGCCAATGTGCTAATCACTGAGCAACACTGGCCAGGGCTCTTTTAACATTTTTAAAATAATTAGGGGGAAAGAAGATAATTATATCAAATAAGAACTGAAGAAATTATGTAATTATAGCTTTCTTCTGAAGTGTGTGTGTGTGTGTGTGTGTGTACAGGCTTATATAAGCCTATAAATAAGGCTTTGCATAGGGAATAAAAATATCTACCTTGAAAGGTACAAAGTGTAAATACATGGGACATTCTGCTTTTCTGTTATAGTTAGTTTGTTTCTTTTCTTCTACAGTGGCCATTCTGGAGAAGAAGTACAGTTATGCAGTAAGACCATTAAAGCATCAGATGTTGACAATCCTGGTCATATTGAGAAGCAATATGAATCTAATTCTTCTAGCATTCATAGTGATAGTAGCAGTGATAATGAGCAAGACTTTGTTTCCTCCATTCTACCAGGAAACAGACCAAATGCAAAGGGTATAAGGCAACAGCTGCACATAAAAGCATCATGAAAAAGAAAGCTTGTCAAAATCAGAAAATCCTGAAAATAAATACAATAGTTCAGAAATAACTTTAGTAGGCATAAGTAAGAAAAGTGCTGAACATTTTAAGAGGAAATTTGTCAAATCAAACCAAGTTTCTAGGTCAGCTTCTAGTTCAGTGCAGGTGTGTCCTGAAGTTGCGAAGGCAAACTTACTTAAAGTTCTGAAGGAGACTTTGATTGAGTGGAAGACAGAAGAAACTTTGAGGTTTTTGTATGGCCAGAATTATGCTTCTGTGTGTCCAAAACCCTCTTCAGACCCTCTGGTTAAAGAAGAAGAGCTTGATGAAGATGACATAAACTCTGACCCAGATAGTCATTCCCCCACCTTGCGGGAATCTCAGGACAGCTTGGATGAGTCTTTGCCTTTCAGGGCCTCAGATACAGCCATCAAACCACTGCCAAGTTATGAGAGCTTGAAAAAGGAAACTGAAACATTAAACCTAAGGATCAGAGAGTTTTATAGAGGACAGTATGTTTTAAATGAAGAAACCACCAAATCACAAGACTCAGAAGAGGTACGTCTTAATGGTGATGAGTTTTCTATGTTGCTAACATATGGAGTACTCATTATAGCAAATTTTAGAGCAGGAAGAAAAATACTGTAGATAATTGTTAAATTTTCAGAAGACTTTTTTAGTTTGTCAGTCTTTTCATTTAAAATGCCATTTCCAGTAATGGCATTACTATTTTCCAAATAAATTGAAGTTTGCCCCTGAAAATGTTCATAAATGTGGAACATTTTTCTGTAATGTAGAAATAGGCTCAAATTGTGGGGCAGAATTTTCTTTAAACCTAGTTCTTCATATACGTAGAACCTCTGAAGAGGCTTGTTTTTTCTTCATTTATATGTATTATTTCCGATTTCTACATGGAATACATATCTTTGTGTTATTTTCAGTGGGACTGTATGCAGTGGAGTAGACTTACCAGTTGAATGGTAAAATATTTGTATAATATTTGGCAAACATGCCCATTTAAAATATTATAAATGAAAATAATATATTAAAGGAGACTTATTGGGAAATAATAGAGAAAATGGAAATAGCACATTCAGGCAAGACTTAGATTTGAATATCTGCTCTGTCATTTACTAGCTATATAAAAAGTTAGTTCTTGAGTTTGATTGCTTATCTGTAAATGGGATCATAAGTAGCTTCCCTTGCTTAATAGTTACATGTTTTAAAGATAACATATATAAAGCATTTATCATAGTGCCTGTCATATAATTGGTACTCTGTAAATAGCAATTATATGTGGAGACTGAATGTATGCCACTGAGGGTTAGGGAGATTTTTCAGTATTTCTAATACCCCATTTTGGTTGATGTGTAGTTTGGGAAATGAAGTCATTTGATACGGAGGAGTAGGCAATAGTCTGGTTTTAACCACAAAACTTTGTTACTAAAGATTTCTGAGTAAATGTGGCTGTAAAAACATTTGGAGATTTATAAAGAAGGTGAAAGTGAAAATATAGTAAAAATTTAGAAATATTTTATATTTCAAGAGAATATTACCCAACTCAGTACTGTATTTGAAATCACTTCAACTGTATTCTTAGACAGTATCTATAACTTTTATCTTAAGTATGGAGAAACATTGATTTCTGTCAGCTGCATAAACCTATCTTAGTACATAACTTGTTTTAATCATTTTTGTGCTTATAAGCCTTAAGAAGGAAAAATTAATCCCTGAAATTTGACTGCTCCTCTGTTGCATAACGTTTTAGTACTTTTCCATTGAAGTATAACTCGATGCTGTAGCCCATTGAATTATCACAAATGAGCACTACCCAGGACAAAACTAAACCAGAGCCACACTATATCTTTTCCTGACCATTACCTCTTTCCAGAATGAATGACTATTATAATAACACAGATAAGTTTTGCTAATTTTGAACTGTATATAAATGGATTCACACAGTATATATTCCTTGGTGTCCAATTTAGTTCATGCAACATTATGTTTGTGAATCACTTGTGTTGTTAACTCTAGTTTTATTCTTTATTGCTACATAGTATTCCATTATAGCAATGTACCACAATTTATATTAATGAGCATTTAGGCCGTTACAGTTTGGGGCTATTATGAACTGCTGTATGAACTTTCTTATATATGTCTCTGCTAATGTGCATGCATTTCTGTTGGGTATGCATCTAGGACTAGAATTTCTGGGTCATAATGTATGGGTATACATTCAACTATACTAGATAATGACAAATAGTTTACCAAAATGGCTGTGGCAGTTTATATTCCCCTACCATACTATGAGAGTTTCCATGACTCCACACTTTCACAATACTTGATATTGTTAGTTTTCACCATTCTGGTGGCATTGCTTTTTAGTTACATTTCTCTGGTGATTAATGCGTTGATCACTATTTCATTTGCTTATTGACCATTTGGATAGTCTCTTTTGTGAAATGCTTTGAGGTGTCTTTTTTTTCCCCATTTACCTATTGAATATATGTAGGTTTTTTTGTGTTTTTTTTTTTTCTGTTTATCTGTAGGAATTATGTATGTATTCAGAACTCAAGCCCATTTTTATTATTTTTTTAAAATATATTTTATTGATTTTTTTACAGAGAGGAAGGGAGAGGGATAGAGTGTTAGAAACATTGATGAGCGAGAAACATTGATCAGTTGCCTCCTGCATACCCCCTACTGGGGATGTGCCTGCAACCAAGGTACATGCCCTTGACCGGAATCGAACCCGGGACCCTTTGGTCTGCAGGCCAACGCTCTATCCACTGAGCCAAACCAGTCAGGGCTCAAGCCCATTTTTAGTTAATGTGTATTGTGAATACCATCTTCTACTCTGAGACTTGCCTTTTCACTCATTACCGGTGTCTTCAGTCTAGTTTATTAATTCCTCCTTTTAGTGACTTCTTTAAGAAATCTTTACCTAGTCCAGGTTATTTAATATTCTAGAATCTATCTTGTTTTTCCTTTCACATTAAGATCTGCAATTCATCTGGGATTGATTTTTGTTTATGGTGACAAGTGTATTATTTCCTCTTTGGGAAATGTGTGCACATTAAAGTTTGATAAGGACTATTGATTTTTTTTTTTTTTTTTTTTTTTTTTAAAAAAAAGTTTTTTTTAAAACCTGGTTTGCTCATTCCATCAGTTAGAGAGATAGGTCAAAATCTGTCACCATAATTATGGGTTTATTTATTTACTTATTTATTTACATTGTTTTTTAAATCCTCACCCAAGGATATTTTTCCCCTGATTTTCAGACAGAATGGAAGGAGGGGGAGAGAGAGAGAGAGAAACATCGACATGAGAGAGACACATCAATTGGTTTCCTCTCCTCTCCACCACACACCGCTCGACAGGGGTTGGGGATCAGACCTCCAACCAAGGTACATGCCCTTGACTGGGAATGGAACCGGGACCCTTCAGTCCATGGGCCAGCACTCTAACCATTGAGCAAAACTGGCTAGGGCTAATTATGGATTTATTATTTCTCCTTTTAGTATTATGAATTTTACTTTTAATATTTTGAGACCACATTATTGGTTGCAAATGTAAGATTGTAAACCTTCCTGGAAAATTAAACTTTTAGCATTATGGAGTAACCTTTCTCTACATTGATTATTTTTCCCCTTAAAGTCTACTTTGCTAACACTATCATTCTTTTATTAGTATTTTCAAGGATTATCTTATTTTAAATATAGGCTGATCATCTTATCCTTTATGGGGAGGATTTAGTCCATTTACATTTAATGTCATAATTGATATGATGTTTGGTTTTAAACCTATCATCTCACTTGTTCGTTGCTTGCTGCATTCCACCTATTCTGTGTTCCTCTTTCCTATTTTGCTTTCTTTGTGTTAAATATCATTAATCCATTTTTTACCCTACATTAGCTTCTTATACATTCTTTTGCTAATTAATAAGTGGTTACTCTAAAGATTAAAATCTGAGTCTTTGCCTTATTAAAGTCTAATGTCACATAATACTTTTATTCCTTCCTGGACAATTAGAACTTTAGAACTGTAACTCAGTTTACCTGCTCTTTACTTATGTGTTCTTGTTGTGTATTTTTGTTCTCTTTACATTTTCAGTTCTACAGAATTTATAGTCAATATTCAGTTGGTTTTGTCTAATTAATTACTCTTTCATTATTTTACTGAATTTCTTTTCTTTCATCTGGAATCATTTGCCTTGGGCCTACAGAATATCTTTTGTTTCTGTTAGTGCCATTTTATAGTGATTAATTTTATGTTTTTGTTTGTAACAAAATTATTTCACTTTTACTTTTACCTTTGAAAGATATTTTTCTGGATATTGAATTCTAGGTTAGTTTTTTTTCTTTCAGCCCATTGAAAATATTCCCTTGTCTTTTGACTTCCATTTACTTCTCTTATTGCTGTCTTTCTTTTTTCAAATATCATGTTTTCTCCTTTGGCTATTTTTAAGACCTTTTTATTTTCCTTTGGTTACCCTCAATTTTAAAATCCTTTGTGTAGTTATGGTTATATTTGTTCTTTTGTTTGTTGTAATACTTGATTCTATGACTTGACTTCTTTCATCAGTTTTAGAATATTCTCAAATATTACTTTGTGCTCCAGTTAGTTATGTTAGTCTTTTTCACTGTATCTTCTTTGTCTCTTACATTATTTTGTGCTTTGCATTATGTGGAGGGGAAAGAAGGGTGCTGGGTGTGACTGTGCTTCATTCTAGGTATTTTCCAAGTCAGCATTCTCTCTTCAGTTATTTCCACATTATTAAATCTATCCATGAGTCTTTAAAATGCTATATTTTTCACTTATAGGATTTTCATTTAGTTCTTTTATATAGTTTTCAGTTCTCTGCTGAAATTTTCAACCTTGTCATTTCTTTGAATATATTGAACATTTATTTTAAATAAAACTGATAACTTCATTATCTGGATTCCCTGAGGATTGACTTCTATGGACTAATGTTTCCGATTTTGATCACATTGTCTTAGTGTTTCATTATGTGGCAAACATTGTATATTAAAAGTTACAGAGATAATTTGAGACCCAGGCTAATGCATCTTCCTCTAGAATGGATTTATGTTTGCTTCTGGCAAATTTGTATCAGTGCCAAATCTCGTTAATCCAAGTAGGAGTTATGATGATTTGGTGATGGGCTTCAGTCCCTATAAGAGCCAGTCTGTTTCCTATTCATTCTTACTCCTAGAGTGTGATCCTTCTAAGTCCTGTTCTCTAACTTGGGGAGTGTTGCTAGTGCCTCTCCTTTCTTGGCATGCCCCAGTGTCTATTAGAAGAGCAGTGCTTGGGTTCTCAGTATCTAAATTGTCTCTTCTGAAATTAGTCAGTGGCCTCTCTGGAATTACCTTCTCCAGAATCACAGGCCATAATTATTTACTGCCTTGTTAGCAATCTGATGCTTTCGAACATGTTTTTCCCCCCAGCTTTTTCAGTTCTCAGCAGGAGTGGTTTGCCATTTCTTGTCTGCCATTTCTAGAAGCGGAATTCCCCATAATACATTTATATTGTTTGCTAATTTTTATCTTTTAATTTCCTACATTTACATAGCATTTAGTAGTTTACAAAGTCTTTTCGTATGCATTTTCTCATTCAATGAAGAAGGTATTAATTAGTATTCCTTTTAATGCAGATGAGAAAATACTCAAAAGTGGGCAAATTATTCAGGCAAGTTCACATAAACCTGAACTGATACTCAAATTTAAATTTTATAAATTTCAAGTCTAGGTTTCATTCTACCATACCACAGGTATTAACTTTTGTATTTTAATGTTAATTATTCTAATCAAAGAAAGAATGTAAATTCATGTTTTTATTTTGCTTTGTTTAAAAATGTGATTCAGCATGATCCCACCTTTCCACTGATAGATTCAAGTTCTCAGAACCAGATTAGAAAACGCATCGTACTCGAAAAATTGAGTAAAGTGTAAGTATGTAATTGTCATTCCACTTTTACAATATTTTTAAGTTAACTTGGTATTTGTGGGTTCATAATATATAGGTGTTATTGAATTTTGAACAGTGAAGAATAATGTGAAAGGTTTACATGGATTTCTTCACCTGAGAAATTTTGATTTTTAAGATATCCTACCAAGGAAATACTGAAATTAAGTTTTGTGTACAAGATGCACATAGTAAAGAGGAAGGTTGAGATTATGAGAGTAGAAAACCAAACTACCTCATTTTAATTTAATAATCCAATGAAGTCAGAGGGGAAAAAATATCAAAGTTAGACCCATTTGATTACTGATTTGTGGTAAATGTGTCACATCAGTTTCACATGTGAATAAGACTTTGTAAAGTTTTAACAGTCTGTTAACTCACTCTGCATACATATTCATAGAACATTTTCACACTCAGCAACTTGAGTTTTTGTTCAACTCAACTTTGCACTTTAGTTTTAAGCTTCCTGTGGTGGAAATTACTGTTCTTGTAATTAGCCCAGTCATAAATGACATTTAAAAATTGCAACCTTGGTTTCTCTTTCAAAAGGAGCTTTCAATCTTTTTTCCAGAGGTATGAGAGCTGTTTTGAACTTTTTAGCCTGCATTTTCTTTCTTTAATAGAAAAGATGGAAAGGTGTTTTCAGTCCTTGCTTAAAGTGGTATGTATGTGGAGAAGTTTTAATTATGTGGTTTATTCAAAATAACAAAAACATTTTGGAAGCCATAGTATTATGAGGACCTTACTCCTTTAAGTTTTACATTTTAAATAACTCTTTAAAATAATATTTATTGAGTGCCTTTTATATGTTAGGCTCTTCATATATGATAAATCTGTTGTTAATTTTGCCATTTATGTGTTTTCATACTTATACATTTCTGTTGAATATTAGGTTAGAAAACAATGTAAGTCACCATTATCTGATTTATAGAACAATCCTTAAATTTAGTTACATAGTTTTTAAAGTGGGCATGGGTTATCTATACTGGTATATAATCAGTATACAGGAATTTATCTGAAAATAGTTACCTAGAATTTTAGCTAATAAAAGTACCCAGTTTTAAATTTAAGACCATGTAGACATGTCATTGAAGAAATTATGTTCCTTCTTGGTTTGGGCTGCAACAGGACATGCTAATGGACCCCTGCTTGAAGACCAGATTATTGAATTAGCACAAGAAATAAATTTCAGAAGAGTTGGAATAACTTACAGAAAAAGAAGCACAAAGGACACTGAAAACAGAATAATTATGGTGGCATAGGCGGTGTAGGGATGGTTGGTTGTTTATAAAAGCAGTTGAGATTTTTCCCATTATAAAGTAAGACTTTCCTTCCCATTTGACTACCATATTTTCTCCTAATAATAAATTTTAGTGGCTGTGTTTATGGAGAGATTATAATTGCCATGATCTGAAGAGGAAGCATTTGTGTCCTCTTCCTATATGAAATGGATGAACAGAAAAAATAAATGAAACTTTTTTTGTTTCTCATTGAAACAAACCAATTGCACAAGGGCATTTTTTAGATAAAGAAAATGAAAGATGTACTGATGATTGAGGAATTATTAATGTATTAATTATTTTTAACTTGGAATAATAAGGAATTACGATGATAATTTTATTGTGGTTATATAAGAAAATGCCTTTGTATTTAGAGATACCTGAGGAAATTCTTAGGGGTCAAGTGACATGTCAAGGATTCACTTTAAAATATTATAGCAAAAAAAGGAAAGAAAAATGAAGCATATGTAAGAAAATCTGAGAACAGATATATGAGGTTGTTAACACTATTTGGAACATGTTTGAAACTTTCATAATAAGTTTTAAAAAGAAAAGCAACACATGCTTATTGCAGAAAATTTAAGCATTACAAAGTGCTATAAAGAAGTGACAGTCACCTGTAATCCCACAACTCAGCAATAACTATAGTTAATAATTTGATGTTTATCCTTGATATATACGTGTATATGTGAATCTATACTCTTTGATTACTTCTGTTATAGTATAAACCTGGAAGAAATGAAACATTTGATGTATACTGTGTATTATATACAATAGCATTATATAATATTTATGGGGTTTTTGTAAAAATTGGACAATATTCTACGCATTTTTCACTTAATATTTATCATGAATATCTTTCTACATTAAGAAAATAGATTCACATTATCATTTTTAAAATATATTTTTATTGATTTCAGAAAGGGAGAGAGAGATAGAAACATCAATAATGAGAATCATTGATCGGCTGCCTCCTGCACGCCCACACTGGGGATTGAGCCTGTAAACCAGGCATGTGCCCTGACCAGGAATCGTACCATGACCTCCTGGTTTATAGGTCAGCGCTCAATCACTGAGCCATGCTGGCCAGGCCACATATCATTTTAAACGTTCTTTTATATTCATATATATATATATATATATACATACATACATACATACATACATACATATATATATATATAATGTCATAATGTATTTGACCAGTCACGCATTGATGAACATTGTTTCCACTTTGATACTACTAAAAATATTCCTGCAGCAAGCATCTTTTTTATGTTTATCTGGTGACTTCCGTAGAATAAATATTTTGGAGGGAAAAAGTTAGTGGGTCAAAGAGTATCCACATTTTAAAAAATGTATATATTGTCAACTTGCTCTCTAGAAATATACCAATTTTTACTCTCACTTGGAGGGCATTTCCTCTTGCCTAGTCTTTTTTCCATTTGGCCTAATGTTTGAAAGTAAAGAGATAAGAAAACTAGAGACAAGAATATAAATAGCAGCCAAAATGATACTTTTATATTTCATAGCCTCACACTGTAGCAAAGTCGTGGAGTTATATGAAGTATTTCCTTATGACGTCTTACCAGTTATAACATAGCTTAACTGCCTTCACCTGAGTGCCATTATTACCTATGGAAAATCCAGACTTAGACAAGTTCCCCCCCCCAAAAAAAAATCTATATAATTAAATTATATTTTAAAAGAAATGTAATTTTTTTTAACTTTCAGATTGCCTGGACTTTTGGGACCTCTTCAGATTACATTAGGAGATATTTACACACAACTTAAAAATCTTGTTCGAACTTTCAGGTTGGTGCTAATATTATAATTTTTTTCTCAGTTATTTTAACTGTAGTGTTATTGCCTTGCAGAAACCATAGGTAGCTCTACCTAACGCATGAAGAAAGTAAGTGACTTACCTATAGTGTCTTAAATCTAAATACAGTGTCTATTTTCTCCACCACTAAACAATATTACTTCAGTGTTTTATTAAATGAAATTCTTTATTTGCTCAAACTGTGAGATATTTAGCTTTGACTAGTTTATTTATAGAATAGCTTAAACTATGAAGGAAAATTATGAAAATCCAAAGGTGGTTACTAATCTTGGATCTTAGTGAATTAGTAAACACATATCAAATGACCAGCACTGTGCTAGGCACCGTGGGTAATACAAAAGAAGCATTATGAAATATTAAATTATCCATCCTTGAGGAAAAACTCCCCTGTGAGAAGATAAGGTGAGCACAGTGAACAGTACAAACAGTGAATAATTTAATATTGAATTGTGTAGAACAGATTTGAAGTGATAAGAAGAATAAAGGGAGATAGAGAATATTAATTATGAAGTAGAGCCGTTGGGATTTTTCTAAAACTGTCATTGTAAAAATATTCAGCCAGCCTAAGACTAGATCCTCTGCCGAGAAGCACAGAGATAGACCTCTAAATACCTGTTAGTACAGATGTGCCAGATACACATTTTGGCCGAATGTAAATGGCCAAATAGTAAAATCAATATTTGCCTATGATTAAAGCCAGATACCACTAACATAAAATGAACTAGGGTAGAAGAATCATTTCATCCAAAAAATAAATTATCATTGTGGTTTATGTTGTCAACAGTAATAGTAAGATTTGAAAAGTTTAAGATTATAGTACAGGAACAATTTCTTCACTGTGAGCTGTTAGATTTCTCCTGCAATCACTATACTGTACATTAAAATAGACAACTTTCAACCTGCACATTTAATAGCATCACTAACCTTTTTGTGTGCCAGAAGATAGTTCAGGAAAACATTTTTCAGCTCGTATTTACTAGAAGGAGGTAGGATTCACAGGTTAGGCAAATCTCAGATTCATCTTCAAGTACAGAAAAGGATCATGTATTACATTTTACATTTCATATGTTTAGCCTTCATAGATTCAAGACTATAGGAGTTATCTTAAGACATTCTTATAGGTTTTTATTTTGAAATTTGACCCCCAAAATGTTTGATGTACATCAGTTTTCTCTAACAGTTTGGTCTTAACATATTTTATTATTTTGATTAGAAATTATATTTGGATTATTGTACACCTGTTCTTTACATAATTTATATATATTATCCAACTCTTGGTATTTTGAGGTGACATTGTTTTTAATTCATCATACAAGATGTGGAGAATTCCCGAATAGGACTTTTTCTTAAAAGATTTATGACTTAAATGGAAGTAACTAAAATTTAAATACAGCTCTTAAATGTTATTTTCTTTAATATACATGCTAGTACATAATATAGCTCTGCAAAGATTGAATTATGATTAAATCTATTATGTTATATTATTTGAATTTTTATAAAAATTTTTAAAGATACAATGTTCTTGAGAAAGTAATCTATTAAATATATTAGTACTATTAAGTAGCAATCTATTTTGCTAAATAATTGAAATATGTCACTATTTTATACATAAAATTAACTTCCCAAACATCATTAATTACTGCAACATTTTATTCTGCTATTGATTGATAAAACAAACATGTAAGGACATTTTCAGTTCATTTCATCTAGAATATTTATATCTGAAAGTGAATGTTGAGGTAAATCTGAATGATGTGATTGTTCTCATTACTGAGATTGTTAGATATCATGGAATATACACAATCACGAGATCACTGATCACATACAAGTTTGGGAATGCCACAAGTGATGTTCAAATTGGCCTAGGCCAGTGGTCGGCAAACTCATTAGTCAGCAGAGCCAAATATCAACAGTACAATGATTGAAATTTCTTTTGAGAGCCAAATTTTTTAAACTTAAACTATATAGTTATTAACTTAATTAGGGTACTCCTAAGACTTAGGAAGAGCCACACACAAGGGGCCAAGGAGCCGCATGTGGCTCGAGAGCTGCAGTTTGCCAACCACAGGCCTACGCCTTTTGAATACTTAACTAAATGCTTTGTCAAAAAGAGTTTGGGCCAAATATCAAGACTAAAGTAGAACTTCTGAATTCCTATTAGTGATGAAGAGAGAGATAACTTGCTTTTTAGATGCTCTCTCATACCTATCACAGTACCATGCATCCAAAAGGGGGAGGGGGTTGTTTTTTAACTGTCTGCAGTTTTTAACTGTCTGATAAAGTTCGAATAGATATATACAATGTGGAAGCACTAAAGATTAGGATTTGTTCAGGATTTCTCAGAAAGTGAATATCAGTAACCGAAAGGTTAACTGAAGGAAGATGAAGACTGGATGTCCTGTTTCATTGATTTTAACAGGACCTCCCATACAGTTTCTTGAAGACAGTGTTTATGTAGTCGTTGTTCTGAGCAAACTGGTAAAGTCACTGAAGACATATCAGAAGAGATACTAGAATAAGACCTTTAATCTTGTATTACAAATACAAAGTTTGTACTTCATTTTTTTATTCCACCCACTTAGGATAGATTAGCAATTTAATTTACTTTGACTATATTTTCTAGAGCTATCTCTCTATAGATCTGATTGGATAGCTTGTATTTTTAAACTGTTTTGAAGTTCTCAGCACTTAATAGAAACCCATTGGAAAAAATGTTAGACTACAGCTGCAATATTGACACATTATTGCTATAATATGCTCTAGGAATTTAGGCATTTTGAGTTGGAAACCACTGTCCAGGATGTTATTTTTTGGTCTTTTGTTGATGTTTAGCCCATGTCAATACATGTGGTCATTACTCACTGTGTGCCAGGTTGTACTTGGCATTTTACATATATTATCTCATTTAATGTCCCAAAATAGTGGTATTATCCCATTTTACAAATGAGGGATAATCTCAAGTCACACAACTAGTAGTTGGGTTTAGACCCCAAGTCAAAGTCAAGAGGATAAATTTTAAGTGTTCTCACCATAAAAAAAAAGAAAAAGATAACTATATGTGAGGTAATGGATATGTTAATTAGCTTGACTATGGTATAATTTAACAATATAACATATCAATATCAAGCGGTATACCTTAAATGTATACAATTACTCTGCATCCCCCCCCTTAGTAAAACTGGAGGGGGAGGCACAAGAATTAAAAAGAAATCTACCATTTGTTGTCTTAGTAGTCATTAGTATCAAAGATGTAAAAAAAAAATTAAAAAATAGTTATTTCACTTATCTCCCTAGACCCCAAATAATAACTCTATTTATGAGGGTTCTGCCCTGGCTGGTTTGGCTCAAGGGATAGAGCATCAGCCTGAGAACTAAGGGGTCCCGGGTTCAATTCCAGTCAGGGACATGTACCTCGGTTGTGGGCTCATTTCCCAGTGGGGCACGTGCAGGAGGCATCTAATCAATGATTCTCTCTCATCATTGATGTTTCTATCTCTCTCTCTCTCCCTCTCCTTTCCTCTCTAAAATCAGTAAAAATATTTTTTTTAAAAAAAAGAGTGTTCTATTAGGAAACTAAGTCTTCTGTGACACCTAAGCTAGCCAAAACCAGAGGCACAGTGTTCATCGGCCTGTAAGAGGTAGCTGACAGACTAAAGATGTGAGAAGATTTTAAATGTCATATTTCTTTTATGTTTATAAACTATTATTATTTTTTGTTAATCCTCACCCGATGATATTTTTCCATTGATTTTTAGAGAGAATGGAAGACAGAGAGAGAAACATCGATGTGAGAGAGACACATCATTTGGTTGCCTCCCGCATACAGTCCAGCTGGGCCAGGGATCGAACCTGCAACCCAGGTGCTGACTCTTGACCAGAAATCAAACCTGCGACCCTTTGGTACGAGTGGTGACATTCTAACCATTGAGCAGCCTGGCCAGGACTACAAACTTGTTTTATCACCTTTTTTCTGTAATTCCTATTGTGTAACTTCTTTCAAGTTACTTTCTGCGTAATTTGCATTAAATTAAAGCCTAGCTAAATGATATGATGTCTATAGTTTGCTTCAAAATTATCCAGATTAGGGGGTATTGAATATGGGGTTGTAGAGATAAAACATGATTGGCCAGGAGTTACTAATTCTCAAAGTAGTGCTGAGTATATGGGAGTATATTTTATATTCTCTCTACTTTTATATCTTTTTCATTAAAAGTTTGGGAGAAATAAGCCCCCAAAGCATTATTTTGGTGTAGGGGATGTTACAAAAACCTTGATGTTAATTTATTTTTCAAGTCTTTACTCTTTAGTATCTGCAGGTAAAAATCTATAGCTTGAACAAAAATTGCTTAGCCTTTGCTGTTTTTTAGAAAAATGTTGATTACTTAGAGTACAGAATGACCTCTGGTAAGATAACTCATTTGGGATCTTGAGATTCTGGCAGGACGACTTCAGCATGTGACTATTCGTAGGCGAGGGCTTGTAAGTAGAGTCTGAAAAAGGTTATATTGATGACAGCAACTAGTATTGAGAGATCTTTTCAGTCAATACTGTCATTGGAAAAGAGTTGACATAAATAACCATATACTTCTCTTTGAAATGATAATGATAGAATTTGTAGAACAGTGATTCTCAAGCCAGTTGTGCAACCGAATTACCTGGGGATCTTTTAACCACTCCAGATGCATGGCTCCACCTCTGCATATTGAATTTCCTTTGGTTAGGGTTGGGCTAGGACATTAATATTTCTTTTTCCAGTTTTTTATTTTTATTTCCAGAAGAACAATTTTAAAATATGTTTTATTGATTTTTTACAGAGAGGAAGGGAGAGAGGGAGTTAGAAACATCGATGAGAGAGAAACATCGATCAGCTGCCTCCTGCACATCTCCCACTGGGGAGGTGCCCACAACCCAGGTACATGCCCTTGACCGGAATCGAACCTGGGACCTTTCAGTCCACAGGCCGACGTTCTAT